CTAAAGAGCGAGCGTTAATGAAGATGATGGCAAAGACTTTTAAGTTTAAGTTAATATCCGCCTGGGGTAGAGGGAGTGAAGTTTATGCGTTGCTGCCAATAACGGTTTAGTGATCTGGAAGTGATTTGCAGGCTGACAGTGTTAATGATGGCTTAAGTCACGCTCAGCTAAGTAGAAACGCAATTTTGCCGTGGACTTGAGGGGGGATTGTATTACGCAGTTCTGCTTGTGAACTGAAAGCTGATAATTTCAATGAGATTGAGCATTGCAAACGGTCAGGCAAATAAATCGACTCGGCTTACCTGAGCTCGTGTATGCAAATTTTGTATTATAATTCGACGAAATATTCCTTCACAAATATTAATGCAATTTGTCATTGAATTGTGAAAACATAAAATGCTCGCCAATGCGTGAATTATCATTAACAGCAGCCATTTTACATGCAGAAATTGCTTAAATTAATAATTAATTATCAGCCCTGATAGGTTTGTTTATTACATAAAGTGACATACAACCTAGGAGTCGATTGTAATTGAAGCTTTTATATGTTGGCTTAACATTTAAATTTAATTAAATTAGTTTCCATAAAATGAGATTAAAATTAAATTTAAATATAAYTTTATTTACTTCTGTTCATTTACTTATTCACTTAATTATAAATATTTGAATTTAAATGAGTATTTCTGGTTTCAAGGTTGAGCGAATTCAACTCGCACTTGCCACGTGAAATTAGTATGTATGTAATTTCGATATGAAATGTGATTAATTTGTCAATATTAAACAGTGTTCTGCGTGCATTGCGCGAATTATTTATTGCCAAATAGCAGCCAATGGGCCAATTAGAGCTCTGCCAATCTGAAATGTGCTGCATCATGGCCACCACTTAAATATTAATCCCAACTAATGGCTGTCAGGCATTAATGAACTGAAATGTGCGAATTGCCATAAAAAACTTTAAATTCTWTAAAATGTATGCACATTTCGTATATTATAATTTAATCGATTCCACGTTTCACAAATGGAAAACCAAACGAATGAAGTGAACAGCAAATATTGGTAATTATTGAATTTGCATTCTGCACACCTGAGGGACGCATCGGCAGGCATTTACGCAATGCTTTCAGCCATATCAAACGTGTAACATCAATTTGATGAGCAAACAGACACATCCGGCTGGATGTCTGCGTATTGGCAGGCGACACATGACAGCACTTAACCACACAAATATGAGTGCCTACACATGCACACACATGTACATGTGCAGCAGCTGAGAGACGGTTGCCCTGTGCATGTAGATGTGGAATGATACTATCCGAATGGGAGCGTAATGCCGGCAGAGACATCATATACTTCTCCAACTTTTATAAATGAAATAGTAAAGGCAAACTTTGTCGTTCGTTCTTCCCGGCACTTACTAAACAATTGTCACTGGTATTCAATTACAGGGTATCAAATACTCGACCATCTAACTTTGAGTTACACGACTTGTTTTATTTTTCCGGATGTGGCAAGCGCTTTGGGATATCAACGAGCCCAGAAGTGTGTCTCCCCACACAAGTATGTAGGCATCCTGTGTGTATATGTGTGTGTATGTCTGGGTCTGTGTTTGTGTCTATATGTGGTTATGAACCGAAAATCCATTTACGCTTGAATACATTTTGGTCATGATGAAGTGGACAAAAACGAACAAACTTTGGTGTTAGCCCTAAACAAACAAACAGCATTTGTTAGCTCAGCTAGTTAGACGGAGCAGCGAATACAAACAGGGACAGCA